GTTCAACTAGACGTATGGACCACTTGGCCATGTAAGACGACTGTATTTAGAGGAATTCCTTGCGAGCAGAGAACACACAATGCAATCACGAAAGTGATCTTAACATCTCACAGCGGTAATGTGTGACAAGCAGCAAAGTATGTTATTCAAGTCTTATGGACCACCACAACACATACTTAAGAGTATCCATCTACCTCAAAATGCATTTGTGTCGGGTGGAAGTGTGTGGGTGTGAATGTGAGTCTGTGTGTGTGTGTATAGTATAACCTATTAGCATAATTACTAGCGCATTAAGGTGCGCTCCATTCGACCGTCAAGTAGCTGAATAAACAAGATATAGCGGATGCAACGTTCTCGAAATTGTCTGGTGCAGTCAAATGAGCTTACAAAATACATATACAGGCATACATGTGTATATTGTAAATGAGTTTCCACTTGCGGGATCCACCAACAAGTTACTGTGTTACAAAGAAGTAAATAATGAACTTTATGAGGTATAAAATAGTCATTTGTTATTCATTGGTTGGTTTAATCATCTGACACTTCGCAGGTCATGGGGTGAGACATGTTTGAAAGTTGAGGAAATCTTTAGATGGCAAAGAGTCCATTTGCATTTATAGTACTCCTTTGTCATCAAGGGGCTCATGAGTATTTCGTGTATCCTCTCCAAACAACTCGTTAAAATATCATCCTCTTAAAATGCAAATATTACTAAGTCTTGGTCTACAGAAATAACAATATCAATAGTTTCGACTCAGATTTGTTTTTGATTGAATTCGGCCTTTTGTGGTAGAATTCATCTATTTTGGGCATATAGTATGCTTTTAGAACACAATAAACGTAAATTCGTTTATGTTTACAAAAATACAGGGACATACTTTAAAATATGTTCGAATCAGAGGATCTAAATAGACCGTGGGTTCTTTTAACTTATCTGTTGGCTTTAAATGTCCACAGAATAAGTAGTTGAATATGTGAGCTGTTCTTCCATATCAGGCTAATTTTTAAGTACTTAAACTACCAAGGATTGGTAAACCATTTGGTAATGTGTTCTTCATTGGGAGTGAATTCTTCTATTTACGTCACTTAAATTTAAAGTAGATCTATACACCATCACCTGTCGATCTTTAAAAGAATTTTCCTCCTTTTTATACCCTACACCACAAAGTGGTCAGGGTATTATGTCTTTGTGCATTCGTTTGTAACAGGCAAAAGGAAAGGAGATAGAAATTTTGAAAATTTTGCGCAAATCATTTGTTTGACCCAAGGACGAACCCTATTGAAATTGGAGATTATCGGTAAAAATTTAGATATAGCTCCCATATATATCTTCGTCCGATTTGCCTTTTTTTTGCACCAAACGTGTAATATCAGCCCGAATAGTATGGGACCATATATCCAAATTAGGCCTGAAAATAAGTATGCCAAATTTGATCGAAGTCGGTTCAGATATAGCTAGCTCCAATACATATATTTTTCATCCGATTTGTTATTTTAGTCCTCCGCAGCCGTAATATGCACTCTGTAACAACAATATTTGGGGAAATATATCAAATACAGCTCAGAAATTTTATCGAGATCGGTTCGGATTTGGATAAATCTCCCATATATAACTTCGTTCGACTTACCTTTTATGGTGCACCAAACGTCTAATATTTGTCCAAATGGGGTGAAATTTGGTCCTTACGACCGAATTGAGTCAAATTTGGTGAAGATCGGTTCAGATATAGCATATGATTTGTTATATTTGTTACCCACAGCCGTAATATGCACTCCGTAACAACGATATTCAGGGAAATATATGAAATACAGCTCAGAAATATCTTTGCCAAATTTTTTCAAGATCGGTTCAGATTTGGATATAACTCCCATATATTATCAAAAGGGGCAATACAAGTCCGAATTTAAAAGATACAAATGTTTCGGCATATTTAGTCTTTTGACATTTAAATTATTATTATAATCATAGCGTGTATGATTGAATTCTCCCATAAAAACTTTTAATTGTTATGTGGAGCTGTACTAAATTAGCAAAATGTTGTAGGGTATCGTAAAGTCGGCCCGCCCGACTTTAAGACTTTATTTACTGGTTTATATTGGGCTTGTCACTCCGTTTGTAACACCTGGTGTATAGCTTCCGAATGAAATTAGGTAGATGTATTTTACGTCAGTAGATTTTTTTTTTTAATTTAAAATGGGTCACATGAGACCACATAGCCCCAAATTACTTTATCGATAGATTGTGTTCCTTATACGTAGGAGACATCCTTGCATAAAACAGTCCATATAAGTCCAATTTTTGGTATATGTCCCATATAAACGTTGCTCCCTACATTTGATATTTGATAATTTTAGCTACCTTTTTTAGAATTATTTCAAACTTGGTATTCGGAGTTCGTAATAGCCATCGCCTTCTCTGGGAGATATATTTGATTTAAACATCTCCCTCATCACCCTCGCACAAAAATGAGCGAGTATATTTGGGCTGGGGGGTATATTCATATATATATATATATATATTTTTTTTTTTTGAACTTTTTTGCGTTTCTACATAGAGGAACACAAAATGCCTTAATTTGGCGAAATACAAAGCAAGACCAAAACATAAATAATACTTGAAACGGAGTTATTCTTACATGGGGGCTATAACATAGGACAGTGGATCGACATGACTTATTTTTTTAACCAATGATTCTGGATGCAATCCAAAGATCTATCTCAACTTCAAAACCTTCCTTAATGTTGATGCAAGCATTCATTAAAATAAACAATATTTTTTCTTTGTTAATGATTAATGATATTTTTTTCATGGCACGTATTGAAAATAAGAACATTCTTTTGTTCAGAGACTGACAATAAATTTGGTCTAGAGGAATTCTTCCTTTGACACTTTCCAAGTAAAAATGGAGATTTTCACTTAGATTTTCTTAAAAACTTTTGTACCAAGATACAGGGTGAGATAAAAAAAACTGCAACAAAGTCAAACGCCATAATTTTTACATTTTTTTTATGAAACCGCCTCTGCGGTATTTTAGCACATTCCCGGTGAAGCGCTTGCTTGGTGATCGACACTATGGTATATTTTAGTGCCGACCTTGATTTCCAAAATACTCCAAACACAATAGTCCAACGGATTGGTATCCGGAGATTTTGGTGGCCATTGTGCGCTGTAAATGAAGCGAGGAACCTGTTTTTGTAACCATTCTTGGGTGGCGCGTGCTGAGTGCGATGGTGCGGAGTCCTGTTGGAATGTCCAAGGTCTTTGGCCAAAATGTTTGCGTGCCCAAGGCCTTAATACAACCTCTAGAATATTTTTGCGATAATATTCGGCAGTTATTCTGATGCCACGGTCGATTAATACGAGCGGAGAGCGAGCACTTGAGTTCTGGTGGCCAACCGAAGGTTCATATTTTCAGCTGACCTCTTTGGCAAGTAAACACGATCATTTTGTTTGGTTACAAACTTCTGGACAACGAATGTTTTCAAATTCGGCAGTTTGCCACTTTCGGTCAAGCAAAGCAACTCTTTGGTATCACGGTAACGAGTGATGGTACGAGACACAAAAGATTTGCACATTTAAATGCTGGAGTGCTCCAACGATAGCCACTGGTGGGTTTCCTGTCAAATATAAAGAAATCACACTATCACGTTTGAATTCCTTAACCAATAACTTTTTTTCTGGAAAATTCTCACCAAAATGCTCTTGTTCGCTTGTAAACAATATAATGTGCTGTCACTGGAATAATTTAGACAGCTGTCGGACGAGTGGCTTAGAAATGACGGCAATCTGAAGTTAGTTGCAGTTATTTCATCTCCTACACTCTTGGTTTGGTTTCTATGATGTGTTCTTGTTTCTATATGATTTTAATGGATATTTTTCAGGTTAATGTCATAGAGAACATTACAAATATGATATAGCTTTACACGCATTATATTATGTCACTGAAGATGCTTGCAAATGCTGAGTTCTTTGCACAAATAACAAATGAATGTGGATATGCCAATTTTTTGTGAATATGCTCTCTTATGTACGTACTCATTTACAAAGATCTATCCCAAACCATATCATATTTCCAATTCGAGTTACATATTTGTAATGTTCTTTAATCAAAATAAAATGCTTTAGAAGTGCTTCCCCATTTTTGGATAGTCCCTACTTTGTATCTTATTTGGTACAAATTGCCTTTTGTGAAAATGGACGGAACTAGACATTTTTCTTAGAATTCCTATTATTGAATATGTATTTGAGACAGTACAAATGAACATCGTTCAAACCACGAGGGCAAGCATAAACACACATAAATTCATATCTCTGTCTCGTAACAAATGGCAGGCATCAAATTAAATTGAAAAACTTTTTCTTATCAATTGCAGAACAATATTTTTCGTGAAAAGAATGCGACCATTGGCATCCCCAATCTTGTTTTGTTTTTGTTTTTTTTTTTTTTTTTGATAATTAATTTAATTTCCTTTGAAATAAATAATAACGTTAGACTATGCATTTAAAGTTCTGCTTAGACGACTTAATCTAGTTTTCAATTACTTAGAATGTTCAGCACCGCATTCGGAATTTATGTTTTGCCAAATTAGCAAATCTATTTTCATTGATTTCGGCCATTTGTGGCCGATTTGCAGGTAAACAACAAAACTCCCCTCCCGCTCGCCCTTGCGACAGCAAATATGCTCGGCCAAAGATATTTGCTTTTGTAATCCTATATTTTTTGCTTTGAGTGATTTTAGTTGAAGGCAGTAGACGTCAATCAGTGGACCGTTGGGAGCTAAGAAATAGGCCAGCTGTGTTGTCAATAACAAAAGGGCAGCATTAAAAATGCTGGGATATTTTCACCTTTCTTCTTCGATGGGATCGGGAAGCAATTCTTTTGAGATGATTCGCGCTTTGTTATTCTTTGTTGTTTTTCTCCTACCGTTGTTTAATATGAAATGGGCAAACGAACGCATTAATTATAAAAGTGCTCGCTTTTCTTTCTTTCTTTTTGCAGATTGCAGACGAGACCTTTATAAGCAGCTATAAGACAAAAAGGGTACTCGACCCCACTACGCCTTTAAAATAAACGCCAACAAAAGAATACAACAAACGCTTCAGACAAAACCCGATAAGAGCCCACCACAAAGAGGAGAGAACAAAACTCAAAACAAAACACAAAAAAAAACGAAACATAAAGGACGAACAAAGCAAATAACAATTTCGAAGAAACTAAAGCTCGTCTTGAGGCAACAATTGCTGAAATTGTTTTCTCTTGTCGAATTTTCCCAACGAGTTGGAAAACAAATACAAAACAATAGGAAATTACTTTCGGTGCAAAAGTTCGCAGCGAGAAGGAAAAGGTCCGTCGAGAAGAGGATTCGGAAGCCAGCGAAAAGGGTTACAAGTTAGCAGCGGGCACTATTGACAACCCGCGGAGCAGCAATGGCTTTAAACGCTCTTGTGGTTCTTGTAATAGCGAGCGGGGTGGTGTTTGCCTGTGTCTATGCCTACCCTCCCAGCTACTCGGATGAACCACCTGTGATCAACGGCAATGAAAATGGCGGCGACGATGAAGATGGTGGAGGCGGTGGTGGTTATGCGATGCCACAGTTCCATCACGGTTACGCTCAACTGATTCAGCAACACTATCAAGAACACAACAAGCCCACTGCCGCATTCACTGCCGCCTCAAAGAAAACAACAACCTCAACAACAGGCTCAACAAAACCGGCTGCAATATCCGCAACAACGGCAGCAGACAAACTGCCCCTCGAACCAGCCTTCGTTTACAGCGCCCAAGTGCCAGCCCACATGGAACCGGAAGCCAACAAGGTGGTCAATGCCGTTAAGCTTGCCAGTTCCACGGTGGCTGCCTCAGCAGCTCACCACCACCCGCCATCAACGTCATCCTATCAAACAGGCAGCTATGACACGAGCTCATACCCAGAAATGAGTCCTAATGACAATGTCGAGCAGTATGGCGACCTGTCAAAGAAACACAATGTCGGTTCCAGGTGAGTACATTACACGAAACAGCCCACTTCCGCTGTGCTACAGCAGCGACTGTGTACAAGTGCAAATACTTGTACCGAAATATAATTTGAGAAAGTGGTTTCCTCTCTCCCTACCTACCTTCCTATCTCCCCGTTGGTTTTCTCGTTCTCCTAAGGATGACAAGCAACATCAATGCGGAGGGAGGAATACTACTTTTTCATTTTGAATAATTAACATTAAATTGTAATTTTCCCTATTACTTCTACCCCCATGGACGTGGAACATCATCCTTGGCCTTTATTTTGTGTCATTCATAGTCAACCTTATAATTAAATTGATTTTGAAACAAAGGGCAGCTTATCGTCCGTCTGTCCGCTTAGAAGCGCAAGATTTTCATTGGAGCAATTAACATTCATTTATTGTTGGATTTAATGTTTCAGCAGTCGTTATTACCTCCATTTATATCCTTTTTATGGTCGGTTCATCTTTGCATTTTGACTAATGTTGGTAACATTAATCAGATTGATAAAATCAGAAATGTGGGTTAACTCGATAGCCAAAGGAGAAAGATGACAATTGTCACAATTGCACAGCGTTGCACAGTCGGGCTTAGAAGTTATCCTCTACATTAAGGCGATGGCCAGTAGGTCATAAAGGCCAAAGATTGCATTTAGATATTGCCGTAAATTATTAAAAAAAATCCAGAGTTAATTTTTATACCCTCCGCCATATAATTGAGGCTATATTACCATTGTCATTTTACCATTGTGACTCCTCGAATAACCATGAAAGATCCTATAAAGTATCAGAGTAAAATGTTAAGTAAATTTAGCAATGTCCGTCTGACTTTCGTTTTAATCACACAGTCTTCCGAATTTAGGTAGAAGTCTGACATATATCCATTTTAGATATTATAATAATTTTTGACATATAATCTAACAAAATTGTCTAAAATTTGGCATCTGTTCTTATCGATAGGTATGTAACCCTCTGGCTGGAAAAAATTACATAAGTGTTTCGGTATGACCTGCATACAGCGGTATCTCTCGCTATTCAATATTTGATAGTTCTTCCGCGTTTTGCAGCGGAATTGCTTTATATTTTGTAATTTAAGTTCAAGTGTATACAGGTCTACTTTTTGGTGCAACCCACATATAACAGGGACCCACGCATAGAGAGACAAAGCGTCCTCATCAAAAATACTTGTACCTTCAGTCTTATGGCTACAAACTTCTATATATAAAAGAAATAACAGATATTTTGATGCGGCCAAAATGTGCCACATCGAAATATGGGCTTAAGCCCCTAGGTCTCTGGGAACAAAATTCAGTTTTGGATATTTGGAATCTCTCTAACTGGTTGGTACTCATGATTACTTTCGAGGGGAGCATCCGATTTTTTCCAAATTTGGCACGTTGTAATATTTTTATTTATCAAATTTAGATTGAGTTCTGAAATGAGTAGATATTATAACAATTTTTGACATATAATCTAACAAAATTGTCTGAAATTTGGCATCTGTTCTTATCGATAGGTATGTAACCCTCTGGCTGGAAAAAAAGTACATAAGTGTTTCGGTATCACCTGCATACAGCGGTATCTCTCGCTATTCAATATTTTGACAGTTCTTCCACGTTTTGCAGCGGAATTGCTTTATATTTTCTAATTTAAGTTCAAGTGTATACAGGTGTACTTTTTGGTGCAACCCGTCCTCATCAGCGTCCTCATCAAAAATACTTGTACCTTCAGTCTTATGGCTACAAACTTCTATATATAAAATAAATAATATATTTTGATACGGCCAAAATGTGCCACATCGAAATATGGGCTTAAGCCCCTAGGTCTCTTGGAACAAAATTCAGTTGTGAATATTTGGAATCTCTCTAACTGGTTGGTACGCATGATTACTTTCGAGGGGAGCATCCGATTTTTTCCAAATTTGGCACGTTGTAATATTTTTATTTATCAAATTTAGATTGAGTTCTGAAATGAGTAAAACCAACCCACTCCTTCTGTTACCTCCACCACAAAAGTTCAAAATTTGCAAAGAAAATAATTTACCTTGTGCATCTTAATTTTGAAATCTGCCTTAGGTCAGGTGTTTAGTTTTGTAGAAACTGTACATGTTGTAAAAATAGTTTGTGTGTTGAATGTTCTTCTTTAAATTCTATTCTTATTATGTAAATTAGTTAAATAAAGAAAACACTTAAGATGCATGTGTTTTCCATATGCTATGTTTATGGTCGGTAATAAATAATGTAATAAATGTCACGGCCATAAATAGAAGATAAGAAAGAGTCGATCACAAATTAGGTACGTTTCGTTTTCTCCCGCAACGTATTGTGTGCGTTAATGCACAGCGTGCATTAGTAAATAAAATGCATATGTTAATGTATTAGATGCAATCTTTAGTGTTAAGAATATGTTGTAAATAAATTGAGTTCCCTTCCACCCACGGAACGAGAAAGATCATCTCGCGGCATTTTCTTTTTCTTTCGTTAGTTACATCGCTTTATGATGAGGTTAGGAGTCGACCTCATCATCATGTGTACGAAATTCACTCCCTCTGGTGCCTCCCCTAATAGGATTTGAAAAACATTAATTCTAGAATATAGTGTCGGATTTTTGCCAAAATTTCTACCTACATTATAGCCAAATTGAAAACGTTTCTGATAACTCTCCCGCACAACACAATATTTTCCATCTATATTATATCTAGTGTATATATAGAACTCATCGACCCACGCCATCTGCTGAACTTGCGACAAAAACGTGGGCCTGTTTTGACAATTATTCAATAAAACTTTGAAAATATGCACTTGAAAATCGAGCATCAATAATGGCTAAATCGACATAGAATTTTATGCTGAACAAGAATATATACACTTCATAGTGGGGTGTGGGGTATAAAAAATATGTATTCCTAACAAGCCGAGGACGGTCAGGATGGGTTCGTTTTATCTTTCTTCCAAGCACAATTAGGGACAGTGCTCATAAAAGGGCTAAAAATCTTGAAAAGTAAGGACAAGTATAGAAAAATATTGCCAACGAATTTTAAATTTCTTTTATTATTTTATTCTTTTTTATTTAAATGTTAGTCATGGGAACCAAGGATTTAATTTCAGCTTAACATTGCATAACCATTTTCGATTATCTGATTAAATAATTACCCCTTAAATTTTCTAAGTTCAAGCGCAACTAGATCAATAATTGTGGCTGCAGACCAGCACCAAGTATATCATCCAGCAGGCGGCAAACTTACCTCATCTGAAATATTTGCTTTCATAGCTCGACAGTGGAATCAAATATGTCACTGGTAAATATACACCTTTTAGCGACAGCCATGGCAACAGCTGAATCCACGATAGAATTTTGCCGCAAATCTGTTCACTTCAGATGTGCCCTTGCACCGCACCCATGTTTGTGGTTTGGCCTGCCGTCGAAATAGAGTAGCTACCAAATATTTTCTGTTCTGTGAGGGACGTTCTACATCCTATCAAAGGAAAGTTGTGGGTGAAGATCTAAATTGCAATGGACATGATGTGCAGTTTCGAATTTCTTAATTCATAGTTTACGTGATGAATGTATGAAATGTCAGTGGCTAATTAACGAAAATTGGTACTAATTAATTGAAAATTACAATGCTATAATTTACTTGATACTTGAAATAACAAATTGGTTTATTGAGCTATAACGGCATAAATCGCGCTCAATTAGATTATACTTTATCTAAAGAATCTAAATTATTTTGAAATTTTATTTGTTTAAATCCTTTTTGTCGTTTGAATATTATACTCTACATCACTATAGCTGCGTTCCACAACCTGTAATAAAATAAAATATTGTTCCAGTTATAAAATTTTTTAACTTAACTTAACTTAAAACATACTTCTTTAATTTTAAAGTAAATTTTAAACAAGTGCTTAACAGTTAATTAACTCTCGTTGTATTAACAACAGTTAAAATGTTAGATCCAAAATATTACAATGCGCAAAACTATATCTAAATTCCTTCGAAAGTTTTCCTGTGCTAATGCCCTAAGGGCAGACTCCAAATGTTTTCAAACCTATTTCTTCTTCTATGGGGCATAATTCGTTACTTGTATTTGAGGCAGAATTCTGCAAACATCTGACAACATGTGGAGGGAGGTGGTTTTTGTATATATATGATATAAAGTGAAAAAACGTAAATAATAGATGGCAATGGTTTAGTATTTAGTACTATGTGGTACGAAGTATTACTGTGATCGGGAATGTTTAAAATAAAAACACAAAAGGAATTGGCAAAATGTTTCCGGTTCGAGTTTTTTCATATTTCCATTCCCCTTATCCAGTCTCCCACAAACAGAGAACTTTCGCAAATAAAATTGCCTAATGTTAATTACGACTTCAAATTCAACAAGTAAAATAACATTTAGTTCGGTCGGGCCGAACTTTCAATACCCTCCACCTTTGGGTAAATAAAACATTTTTATATAAAAGGATCTGAATTCAAACGTGTTCCACTTTAAACTGCAAATACCAGTTAGACCATTTGTATAATTCTGTTAACCTTTCCAAAAAACCATAAATTGGGTGAAGCCGTTATGTGGCGGGCATGCCAAAACGGGAACCTCTATAGACAATTTTATACTTAAAGGATTGTCATCTACCAAATCTTGAAAATGTGTGGCAAAAATTATCAAAATACCGTATATCGGAAGTTACCGTTATATGGGAGCTATACAAAAACGTGGATCTATACAGAACCCATTATGACCTACAAATACCAAGTTTAAGACAAATCCCTTGAAAATGTAGCAAAAATCATCAAATACCGAATATCAGGAGGTACCGTTATACGGCGGCAAATTGATTGCCAAATATTGAAGCTCTACGTCAAATAATGTGGGCTGTATCGTGATTTTAACAGACAAGCAGACGGATAGAAACATCGTTAAATCGACTCAGAATTTTATGCTAATTATGAATATACAGGCTGAGATGAAAAAACTGCAACCAATTTAAGGCTGCTGTCATTC